ATGTATAGATAAAGATATAAATGTAAATGTAGATAAATATAGACATAAACGCACATAGATTTAGATATAAACATAGATATGTATAGATGAATACATAAATGTAAATGTAGATATAGATATAAGCACACATAGATTTATATATAAATATAGATGTGTATAGATAAATACATGAATGTAAATATAGATAAATATAGATATAAACACACATAGATTTATATATAAACATAGATATGTATAGATAAAGATATAAATGTAAATATAGATAAATATAGATATAAACACACATAGATTTAGATATAAACGTAGATATGTATAGATAAAGATATAAATATAGATATAGATAAATATAGATATAAACACACATAGATTTAGATATAAACATAGATATGTATAGATAAAGATATAAATGTAAATGTAGATAAATATAGACATAAACACACATAGATTTAGATATAAACATAGATATGTATAGATGAATACATAAATGTAAATGTAGATATAGATATAAGCACACATAGATTTATATATAAACATAGATATGTATAGATGAATACATAAATGTAAATAAAGATAAATATAGATATAAACACACACAGATTTAGATATAAACATAGACATGTATAGATAAAGATATAAATGTAAATATAGATAAATATAGATATAAACACACAGATTTAGATATAAATATAGATGTGTATAGATAAAGATATAAATGTAAATGTAGATAAATATAGACATAAACGCACATAGATTTAGATATAAACATAGATATGTATAGATGAATACATAAATGTAAATGTAGATAAATATAGATATAAACACACATAGATTTATATATAAACATAGATATGTATAGATAAAGATATAAATGTAAATATAGATAAATATAGACATAAACGCACATATATTTAGATATAAACATAGATATGTATAGATAAAGATATAAATGTAAATATAGATAAATATAGATATAAACACACATAGATTTAGATATAAACATAGATATGTATAGATAAAGATATAAATGTAAATATAGATAAATATAGATATAAACACACATTGATTTATATATAAACATAGATATGCATAGATAAATATATAAATGTAAATATAGATAAATATAGACATAAACGCACATAGATTTAGATATAAACATAGATATGTATAGATAAAGATATAAATGTAAATATAGATAAATATAGATATAAACACACATAGATTTAGATATAAACGTAGATATGTATAGATAAAGATATAAATGTAAATGTAGATAAATATAGACATAAACGCACATAGATTTATATATAAACATAGATATGTATAGATGAATACATAAATGTAAATGTAGATATAGATATAAACACATAGATTTATATATAAACATAGATATGTATAGATGAATACATAAATGTAAATGTAGATATAGATATAAACACATAGATTTATATATAAACATAGATATGTATAGATGAATACATAAATGTAAATGTAGATATAGATATAAACACATAGATTTATATATAAACATAGATATGTATAGATGAATACATAAATGTAAATGTAGATAAATATAGATATAGCACACATAGATTTAGATATAAACATAGATATGTATAGATGAATACATAAATGTAAATGTAGATATAGATATAAGCACACATTGATTTATATTTAAACATAGTTTTTGATATATCTATAGATATTTGGCTCATTTTATGGTTTTCCTCATTCTTGTCCCTTGTTGCCCATTACAAATCCTCCTTCAGCACAAACTCTGTCCTAACCTGAGCAGAGAAGCAGGAGGGAACGAGCAGATCTGTGCAGAACAGAACCACACCTGCAGACCTAATGGGTTGTGACAAATTGTGCGTCTCATTGTCGTATTGAATGTTTTGTTGTCACATGATGAAGCAGTCGATGGAGCTTCGACCAATCGCTGCCTGTCTTCATTCAATAAGCAGCAATCACTCTAAGTGCACAGGGGCATCATAAAGAGCACAGGCTGAGGCTGTTCTGGCCTTAATATGTCTACGCCCATGCAGAGGTGAATGTAATATCCTGTTCTGGTTATTTATAGCTGCCAGGAGGGAGCTGCTTGCTCTCGCTGTGTCCCTCTCACGCTCTGAAACAAAAACAAACATTTTCCCTGCGTCTTTTATTTCCGGCTCTAAGAACGTTAAGGGCAGCAGATGCTCTGGAGGTAAATCTGCTCTGACTCACCTGAGCAGCTTTCACCCTGAATCTCTGCACGAAGGTTTGAGGTTCTGCAGAGTTCCACTTTCATCACATCTGGGACAACGTTTCCTGGAGTAATCCCTCTCCATTTCTGTCCGACACCACATTCTGCCCCGAAATCAAAGGCTAGAAACTCCGATCGTGTTTCATTACTTCATCGTTCTGCTGGTTTTAAACGCAGGCAGAGATTTCCTTAGCGAGAGCGCCCGCAGGAGGCCAAAACGGGACCAAATCACAGAAGAAAATGAGATGTTTAAAAAGGTTAAAAGAAAGCTTTTATTCCGTTATTCTCACTTGTTCTGACTCTCCAGGCTTCAGCTCGTAAAGCAAATCACATCGGAGTCAATTATTCTGGCTTTGCTCGTTTATTTTCCTCTTTTAAAATCTCCACTCAGGCCTTAAACGTGCCTCTGACTGACAGAAAGATAAATTAAGCAGCTTCTGGTGTAATTTATCATGTTTCTCACATCTGTAGCTTATTTAAAAACTCAAAGATTAAAATATTTTAGCCCTCTGGTCTAAAATAAACCAAACTTTTCTTAAATAACATTAATAAAGCTGGAAAAACCGCCTCCTCCAGATGGATCTTACTTATTCAGACTGAACGAGCTTCATGATTCAGGATTCGTGAACCAAAAGTCACCATAATGTTCATATTATATATTACATATATTTAGGATTTATTTAAATGTGTTTTATTCCCTACATCCTGAAAAAAATACATAAAAAACTGGACATGTTTGCATAAACAGTGAAATATTATTATAATTTCCACTACTTTGGTCTTGATAGTATTATTTAGTTTTATATAATCATGAATTTACCTTGCATATCAGCCCTCATTTCCCCAAATCAATGAAATGCAAAGATAAAAGAAAACATTTTTGATGTTTTCATGGAGACTTTGCCGACCAGGAACAACGTTTTAATCCCACGGTGTTCCAGATTAAAGCTGTTAACATCTACAAGCCTTTTTTTACTCGTGTTTTGTTGCTTTTGACATTTTCAGACCTAAAAGTCCAAAGCCGCTCAACCAGAAGTGTTTTATTTAGACGTCGTGCTTTTCTACATTCAGTCGAAGCAACACATCAGCTTCTCACTCGTGTCCTTCAGACTTCATAACCCACAGAGTTATTAAATCCCTCTGAATTCTGATGCTGAACTCTTTCTAGAGTCTAATCTCGTGTGCAGCTCAGTCAGCACACTTCCTACACCGGAAGCTGCAGGTTTGTGTGGTTTTTATACCGGAGATGCTAACTGAATAACAACATGCTGGGGTCTCTGAGTCCCTAATGAAATGTTCCCTCTGCTTGTCAGCTCCAACCACACGTGAAGGTCTCCAGTGAGTCCACTTTAATGGGCAGCACAGAGACTCCACGGGTCGGTCTAGCTACCACAGACAGACAGCACCGTGAAAGGAGACACCTCTCCCACTGAAACCAGCCACCCGGGCTCTGGCCTACTTCCACTGACCTACTTTACCCCATAGGTGTGGATTTCAGTTTGTTATTCAGGGTCATAAACATATTTCTGGTCAAAAGTCTGAAAAAATGTTTTCAAACAGTGGTTTAGCTTTGGTTTTATAATGAAAGGGTCACCTGGTCCCCTGCACAACCAAAGCAAGAGATCCATGTTCTAGCAACTCCAGGTGGGAGTCCAGCAGCTCTGGTCTCTGATCTGCTTTAGAGTCATCATGGACCACATATCAAGACCTGGAGAAGAACGAGTCTGGTTCGGGAACCTCAAGTGTCTCATTGCTGCGTTCATGTAGTTTTGTTGGTGTCTTTAGGCCATGATGTTCAGCCTGCTGGAGCAGTTCTGAGTCAGCTCCTCCACGTCTGAGGTTCTGGAAGGGAAACAGGTGCTGCTAGGTTGTCAAATAGAAAAACAACACATCCCATGAAGCTTTGCCAAAGCCGCCATTAAGGCATCCCAACTGGTGTGGTTTAAAGAAAAAATTACGTTTTAAACTTGTTTAAAGTAACTAGTGAGAGAAAATGTAAGTAACTGGGAGGAATCAATATATTTTAGACAGATACAGTTTTAAACACGATCTTAATGTTTTACTTTTCAAATCCACACCTAAAACCACGGTTTTGTTCAAGACTTTACATTTTCCAATTTTCCAGCTCTCCCCTGAATGCAGCGCAGGTGTGTGCTAGCGCGGGAGCTAGCTTAATTCCGCCCGCAGCCCGGACGGTGTTTGCGTATTTACCCGCTTAAGTTCGGCGCTGCTCTCCTAAGGTTGTCAAAGTTTATCAGAGTTTCATAACCGAGGCGTGTTTTCACGTTTTCATCATCGGCTTGGGTCGTGATTGAGTCATGTTAGAAGTTATGAGTGTCAGCGGGTCGCTTCGTCGTTGGCGTTTCAAAGAGAAGTCTTCCAAAGTGTACGACATTTACGCCACTTGGTCTAAAGTTTGTAAGGAAGTGAACGGAAACGCCTTTTTGTTGTTCGAGGACAGCAGTTTGCAATGTTTTCCTGTCCGGAACCGCAAAAAAGCGCAGCCCCGAGGTCCAGGTGAGTTTTACCTGTCTCTTTTGTAGCTGCTAGCCAAACCCGCTACACCAAACTCCATTAAGAATTCCGCTCATGTTATCTTTTCCCTTTTACGTTTTCAAAATCTAAGGAGCAAATTGGGTTTTATTGATATTATTATAGTTTAACAGAACCTCAAAGTTAATTTGGGGATTTTAGCTATTTTTGTACCAGCTTTTGTTTGAAGTTGAACCCCCCCCAAAAAAGTTATATTTTAAATAAATTTTAACTGCAAACCGTGAACGCGGGCTTCACTTTTACCTGAGTGTCTTTGGTGAAATTCCAGTTATTTAGCCAAAAATCTGCACGTTTTCAACAATTCGGCTCATCTGGTGTGTGGAAAGTTGACATTTGTGCCTCTTGGCCCAAACTAAACAGAATTATCTGTGGCCGACAACTGCGGATCCAGATGTGTAAACCGGTGAAACCGGTTTTAAAACCCAAAGCCGCAGACTTTTGGGCTTGGTCTGTTTTTAACTCCTTTAATTTCCACCTTCATGTGCTGTGACGCGCTAACGACACGCGCACTCTACCAAACTCTATTGATATTTCAACAGATTTTACGCGTCTGTCCTCATTCAGCCCCAGACAGCAGGAGCATTTGGTTTAATGCGTCTGATCCGAGTCAACCTCTCGGATAAACGAACCCTCCCTGACACGAGTGGACTGTGTAAAGTTAACGAGCTGTTAAATCTAATGAATGTTTGAACGAGCCTTTGGCTGCAGAGTTGGAGTAATGAATGAGTGAAGGCGGAGGCGGATGCTGACTCCGAACCGGAGCCAATGCGCTCCGTGGGCTGGACTACTCCTCATAATTACTGTCCCGGCTCCCGGTCTAATTATAGATGAGCACGTGGGCAGGTGAAGCAGGATTTCTCCGTTTTCGGCACGCGCCGAAATGAGAACGCGCTTTAAGCCTCGGCAGCAGGATTGTTTTTGCTGGTTTTACTGCAGAAGTTCGGCCAGGACAGCTGCGGAGATATTCTCAGTTCTGCTGGGTTCTTGTTGGATTTTTTTCTAATGTTTTCCAGTTTTGGTCACTAACATGAAATGGTTTCTTTAGTTTATTTTACCTGATGAGGTGTAAACGTGGCTCTGCAGCAGAGATGCCTGAATGGAAGTCTGAATCAGTGTTCAGTCTGGGATTATATTTTAGTGATCAGGTGTTGAGCCATCAGTGGATTAATCTGGTGTGCTGCACCCGTCCTTCTCTACTGTTCTAATAATGAAAGTGCCTGCATCCTAAATGCTGCCTGGTTGGACGTGTGTTGTCCTGCTTGTGGTGCAGAAATCTTGTTTAGCTGCTTTGATGGCATCTGAGTAAGTTGGCACCGGCTGTTGGAACGAAACAAGTGCAGGGGAAGAAATTCCACATTTATTCCCATATTTCCTCCTTTCTGTTGTGATGTTTGTTCAGACGATCTCCATTCACGTTTACTCCATGATGGTGAATGGTCTGTATTTGTATAGGACCGTCGTAGGGTTCTACAACCCCCCAAGGCGCTTCACAACACATTCAGTCATCCACCCCTTCACACACTGGTGGTGATGAGCCACCGTGTAGCCACAGCTGCACAGGGGCGAGGCTCCTGAACACAGGCGCCAGCGGCCCCTCCGACCACCACCAGGAGGCAAGGCAGGTTAAGTGTCTTGCCCAAGGACACAACAGCAGCATTCTCTGGTCAGATTGAGCCTGCAACCTTGCGATGACGGGACAACCTGCTCCACCTCCTGAGCTGCTGCTCAGGACCTTCTGGTCAGCTTATTAAAGGCTTGGATTGATCATTTCTGTTTCCATAGAGGGGTTTTCTGGATGAGACGCCACCGTCGGCCTGAACTGATCGAAGCTGTGATAAACCTTCGTCTCTCCTGTGGTTTAGGTGTTTTACCTGTTTTGTAAATCCTGATGGCGGCTGAGTCAGAGCTGCAGATTCGCTCCTGCAGCCACGAAGGTGTTCCATGTTCTGGTCAGGTTAGATTTTCCTGAGTTGATGAAGGTTCTGTCGAGGAGAAAATCCTCTGATTGTGATCGTGCTGCTGTGCAGTCTCACCTTTACCACGACCGTTTCTGCAGCCGCTTCCTTCTGTCACTCTGGAACACCGAGGAGCCTCTAGCCTTCCTGAAGGCCCAGATCTTTGTTGCTCATCATCAGCAGAGTGAACTGGCTGCTACGTTATTTGTTGTTGTTTTCTTCTTCTGAGGTAAAAGCTGTTGACCTGCTGGAGAATCAGGTATTCTGGCATCCTTACACTGGCTCCCGGTGCATTTCAGGGCCAAACTCAAGTTGTCAGCGTTGGTGTACAAAGCTCTTCAGGGAGCTGCACCATCATACCTTACTGGCGTCCTGCAGAGGCATGCTCCGTCGCGGGTTCTTCTCTGCAGATAGAGCTGTTGGCGGTTCCCATTTCTAAGTGTAAGTCAGTGGGGATCGTGCGTTCTCTGTGATGGGTCCGAGCCTCTGGCTGTGCACCAGTCTCCTTCGCTGTTGGTGTTTAAGTCCCGTCTGAAGACCCATTTTTATGTTCTGGCTTTCAACCACTAGGTGATGTACTTTTGGTGTCATTGTCCTACTTTTATTGTTTTAACTGGTTTCTTTTAGTAGTTCTTAACTGTTTTGAATAGTTTAATGTTGATAAATGCTGTTTCTGACGTGCTGTTCAGCTCCTGGGGCGTCGGGCGAGGTCGTGGAAGCGACTTCATGAATAAAGAATCTGGGTCTGTTCCATATTCAGTGTTTGTGCACTGAGCAGAACGTGGTTCCAGATCCAGGTGGATGGTTCTGATGGTGTTCAGCATTCAGATGGTGTCTGAACCTGAACATTTGTTTCTCTCAACTCCGAGTCACAACTTTTATCGGTTAGTTTAAGGGAATTGATCTGTAAGCGGCTGAAGTGTGTCGTCTATCCAGCAGAACCTCTGCTGTTTTTTATTACCAGATTTATTGACATGGTAGGGTGTAGGACCAAAAATGGTCACGGTAAGAGTCAGAAATGTTGTTAACGATAAATTTTCCATTCATAGCCAGTCAGCCCTACGTGTAGCGGTACCATTAAACGGTGGGGTTGTACACTCTTACCGCTGAGGGGAGGGATGACCTACGGTACATTCGTTACTACACTTGGATTTTCATGACACTAACGCTTCCCACTCGGATTTTTCTCCAGGGCACAGTTGATGTATAACGATGCATCATCCGGAAAATTAAATATGAATAATTCTGCGTACCCCTGTAATGTGCTTGTGTACCACTAGGGGTACGCATACCCCTGGTTGGGAATCGCTGATATAAATAAACTCATTATTGGGACTAGGGCCCGACCGATATAGGGGTCATTAACACTATCGGCCAAAAAGACGGCCGATATTGCGCTACCTATCCAGCAGATGGTGCCAGCTTTATGAACTCATGTTGTGTGGCTCCACTCCTCGGGGGGGTGGAGCCACCTTCACAGCACACATGCAGCGGGGCAGCAGAAGCAATTCGGTCAAGCAGAGAGGACGGTGATGAGGAAGTAGGAGGTAAATCTTCAGTTTTAAGCATATTTGTTGCATCAGTGGTAAGTTGAACGGTAAAATAAGCAATGACAAAAGTATGTTTCCCCTCAACATGCTTCCTAAGTTTATTGTGTGCCTCGTGGCCTCGTATTGAAAAGTTAACCTGAAAAATAAAATAAAACTGCCGCAGCATTACGCTCTACGCAGAGCTCAGCTGCTTCCCCTTTAGTCATGCAGGGCAGTAAGTAACATCGGCCTTTTTCTGGTAGACATTCTGGAATATTCTCAGACAATTTCCTCCGCTCTTCTTCAGCAGTCTTTTCAAACTCACGCGGTTCACCCGCGGCTCGCGAAACAAATAGTGCAGACGGCGAAACGATCGCTGCACGGTGCGGGCGTAGCGCCGGCGCACAGCGCTTCGGCGGCCCATGTGGCCGATAGAATAGGATAACAAGGGCGACGAATGAAGGCGGTCCCCGTTTTGCGGCGCTTTGGCGGCACACGACCGTTGTCGCAGCTGAGGACGGGCGAGGGGGGGGTTGGCAACAAAGCAATGAAACGCTGTGCAGGGAGTCCCCCCTAGCTGAGAGAGGGGGGGGCGGTAATACGAGAAAACAAACATCCCTCTCTACAGTCGAATACATCTATTGTATTTTTCAGCCTTATATTTTACATAAGGCTTATACATTGCCACATACTAGTCATTTAACGTATCTTATTTTTATTTTCCTAATACTGTCGGCCTTGGAAAGGATCAAAACACAAAAGTGTAAAACTCCACAGACTCAGAAAACAAAAAACTTGAATGTAAGATTTATGCTGACTGAGTTTGTGTGTTCTGTTGTTTTTGAGATTGCTAAATTAATCTTATTTGCATTACTTGGAAACCCTAGTGAGTTCTTCAGACAGTTCTTTGGTGTGTAACAGAGAAATAAGTTAGCATCAAAAAGGCAGAGAATGAAGGGTTTAATCTTAAGAACATTTGTATTTATTTATTTTTTTGTGAGGGAGATTTATCGGCCATTATATCGGCTATCGGCCTTTGTTAAAAGTTTTATATCGTATCGGTCCCAAAAAAACCATATCGGTTGGGCCCAAATTGGGACAGTGGGACTCACCTGGTTAAGCCTTCAGGTGAGAACTCTGAGCTTTACCTCCGTCCCGTCAGGGCACCGTCTCATGTCGCTGTCCTTCCTCCCCGGGTCAGTGCATTTCACTCAACGCGTTTAATCTCCCCAGCAGGATTACGGCTTCCTGGGGATTTGGGATTTCTGCCGGTCCAACACATGTTGCAGTTACCTTTGTGTGCTTTCATGTCTGGAGCAGCAGAGCTCAGATCGATGGGAGAGGGGCGAAGGGCTGGCGTGGCATGAAGACCTGTTGTTGTGGAAGCACGCTGCTGCAGCTCTTTGGGGTTTGATACGGAGGAAGTGTCGGATTATTTACCACCTGTTGATACCGTTTGTAGTCTGAGAAGATCTGTTCTTCTGTGGACTCACCTCCGTATTTTCCTCCAGATCCAGAACAGAGACCAGTTCATGTGATTCATTCCTACTCCTGTAATAACGAAGGTTTGGGCTGGAGGAGCCTCGTCCTGCCCGGGTCTAGGTCCTAAAACCATCCCGCTGATCGTGGAGGGCAGCAGCAGCGGTGCTTTACGCTACTGAAATGAGCAGCTTCGGTCCGTTTGGCCCGGTGTCTTCCACCCTCATGTGTTCTGCTGCAGCAGCTACCGGAGACATGCCCGGACCTCCAGCTAAAGGGGCGTTTCCCCTGCTGGAGGACAAGCAGAAGGACCAGGTCCAGCATGAGGACCAGCAGCAAGCCTCTCTGGGCCGTGTGGTGGAGGACTTCTTCTGGATCGGCACCAGCATTGTGGCCTTTTCTAAGTGGCGTCTCGGCTACGTGGGTGAGCTCCGTCAGACCCAGCCGTAAGGTTTCAGACTGCTGAGTGGAAGGTTCTAAACCAGCTGGTTAATGGTTATACTGGGAGCATCTATCCAGAGCGCTCATCTCCTTAATTCTGAGCACCTCGCAGTTGTGTTGTGCAGATTGTGGGATTGGACCAACGCAGGTTGTTCCTCACACGGAAGCTGTGGGTCTTATTGGATGTGTTGCTGCGTTAACTCCATGGTCTGCTGCTCAACACGATGCAGCAAGCTGTTGGGCTGTTCTGGTGTTTCCATCAGGTTCAGGCCAGAGCTGCAGGAGATGCTCTCATCACATCCATGTACCAGAGTTAGTCTAACCCCAACTTTAATCGTTTCACCAATACACATCCCAGCGGTAACCATTAAAACCAGCAACAGGTTCATCCGTAGTTGCACTTCCAGACTGGAAGATTATAGGATGCATGATAATATTCCATATGGGTGAGCTGGGCCTCGTCTACAGAACATCACCAGACTGTTGGAGGCGTCTCATCGTGGAGAACGGTGGAGTCTTTACCCAACAGCAGCGCCGGCTTTCTTTATACTCGCCCCTAAACTGGCCATCTGTCCTGCTGGGTCAACAGTGTGTGTGTGTGTGTGTGTCTGTGTGTGTGTGTGTCCGTGTGTCCGTGTGTGTGTGTGTGTGTCTGTGTGTGTGTGTGTCCGTGTGTGTGTCCGTGTGTGTGTGTCCGTGTGTCCGTGTGTGTGTGTGTCTGTGTGTGTGTGTCCGTGTGTCCGTGTGTGTGTGTCCGTGTGTCCGTGTGTGTGTCCGTGTGTGTGTGTGTGTGTGTCCGTGTGTGTGTGTGTGTGTCCGTGTGTGTCCGTGTCCGTGTGTGTCCGTGTCCGTGTGTGTCCGTGTGTGTCCGTGTGTGTGTGTGTGTGTGTGTGTGTCTGTCCGTGTGTGTGTGTCTGTCCGTGTGTGTGTGTCTGTCCGTGTGTGTGTGTCTGTCCGTGTGTGTGTGTCTGTGTGTGTCTGTGTGTGTCTGTGTGTGTCCGTGTGTGTGTGTCTGTGTGTGTCTGTGTGTGTCTGTGTGTGTCTGTGTGTGTCCGTGTGTGTGTGTCTGTGTGTGTCTGTGTGTGTCTGTGTGTGTCCGTGTGTGTGTGTCTGTGTGTGTCCGTGTGTGTGTGTGTGTCTGTGTGTGTCTGTGTGTGTCCGTGTGTGTGTGTGTGTCCGTGTGTGTGTGTGTCCGTGTGTGTGTGTGTCCGTGTGTGTGTGTCTGTGTGTGTGTGTCCGTGTGTGTGCCCGTGTGTGTGTGCGTGTCTGTGTGTGTGTGCGTGTCTGTGAGTGTGTGTCCGTCTGTGTGTGTCCGTGTGTGTCTGTGTGTGTCCGTGTGTGTGCCCGTGTGTGTGTGCGTGTCTGTGTGTGTGTGTCCGTCTGTGTGTGTGCGTGTCCGTGTGTATCCATGTGTGTGTCCGTGTGTGTGTGTCCGTCTTGTGTATGTGTGCGTGCGTGCGTGTGTGTCCTGTACCATACGGCCCCAGGCAACAACAAACCCCCCCCCCCCCCCTCCAGGCTTAACCTGCTGCCCTGACCGAGGAGCAGAGCAGCTAATTCCTCCTCCTGGGCTCAGACCGTGTCTGAAGCTTCACATGAAATCTGTTCTCGGGTGGTTTTCATCGGTATTCCTGCTGGAGCCAACGAGTAATAAACGGGATGTTGGTTCCAGCGAATATGTGAACATTTGTCCGTGATGAGTGACGTGATCAGAGAGGCCCGAGGTGGAAAACGGGTCACTGCTCCCAGAGAAGCTCGCACTCCTGCTGCTGCTCCTTGTGCTTCTGACACATTTTAGTGTTGACCCTGAATCCAGTCGTTAGAAATAAAGTTCAGGTGTGCAGAAGAGGAAACATGCAGGTGAAAATCAGATTATCGTATGTGTATCGTGTTATTTCAGTAAAAGCAAAGCGGCAAAGTACCGAGTACGTGTGTATAATTATACTTTTTCAGAGGTTTCTCTATTTAAAATCCTTGTTTTATTGATTTTGTGTAAACTTGTCTGACTTTCTTAAGCTGTCAGCAGCAACCAGTTATAAAAGGCTTGAATTGGCTGGTTCTGACATCGGCCCATCTCATTCATGAGTTTCACCTTTTAGGTAGAGTTACCGGCATAAATGTACTTCAGCAGCAGATTTCACCTGTAAGTCTGACCCTAGAACCGGTCATGGCCATAAAAAGCTGATTTTACCGTCTTATTGAGCTTCTTCAGACCCAAATCTGAGTCTGATTGAAGCCGTTTGGTGTTTTCGGCCTTCAGTCCCGTCGCTCGGAGAAAACTTTCTCTTCCATCAGAAAGTCAGCGAGCAGAGCTGAGTGGTGGAGAAGCTCTTCATTAATCAGGCTCACAGACTGAATCAGGGCTTGTTTTCATTCACTCCAACATCAACACACTCCTGAATCTGATGTTGTAACTATGGCAACAAGCCCCGATCCCCACCGGCTCTGTGCAGCGCTCGTGCGCTGCGTCTGTCCCCCCCACCTCCACCAGCTGCCCTGTTCTGTTTCAGCAGCAGCTTTTTATTCTGACCACTTATCATCTGTCTTTGTTCCATCAAAGTAAGAATCAGTGAGTCTGCCGTTAAAATGAAAAGTTGAGAATGATTTTTCAAACTGTGCTTGTTTGAATCTGTAGATTTTAAGGTGGACTGAAAATGAGCTGTGTGGCCGACGGTTGTGAACTAGATCCTTTTCACCCGGTCTCAGTCAGCTGCCCAGAGGCTGTGAACAACCTTTCCAGTGAGTGGATGTGGATCGAATGCATTTGTACGCTACCTGGAGCTGCATGGATGCATGGATGCTGCTCCAGGCTTTTATTCGGGCTGAGCCCGTGGAGCACTCGGCTTTCTGGGACTAAACCTGCTTCCCAGAGGCTTTCAGAGGACCAGGGGGCAGTTTGATACCAGTAAACATGTCATCTTGGTTCTTCTCACTGAAACCGTGCTTTCTCCAGCACTATGGCTGTTTAGACGAGCTGCTCGTGAAATATGAGGGAGTCAGCCGGTGTGGGACTGGGACCAGCCTCGTTCAGACGTACAAATAGTTGATTTACCCTTTTTGTTGGTGACTTTGACCCTTTGCCGTCTAATCGGTTACAGCAGACCTAGCGTTGATGTTTCCAGACCGCCGCCCCGACCCTGAGACTGTTGACGATTAATTCATCACCAAGAGTTTAATGCTCTCCTTATTCCAGCAGCTGGATCCTGCACCTCGCAGAAGGTCATGCTGCTCGTAGCTTTTCTACCACCAGTAAGATACTGGGTAGTTTACCAGAACCAGACTTCTGTTTGTGGACCTGAACTTTCTGGTGTTTTGAAGAGGAGCAGAGTCTTCCTCAGTGGCTCGGTCTCCCAGCTCTCTGGTGTTCAGGCTTTGCTTCTTGGTGGACTCTGATCATGTCAGAAACTCCCATGATGCCTTGCTTGGGTTGTGTTTTATCTTTGAGGGGACGGCTGTAACTACGGATTAAGCTCCTGTCTGTCTGATTCTAGCAGTAGGTTTTAATCCACCCTCTGTTTGGCCGTGCTGCTTCGTGTCTCCGGCCGACGTCTGGACTCCAGGGCGCTTTCATCACCATGAGAATGAGCCCAGCTGACTAAACTCGGTCAGCAGCTTGTTTCGTGGATTGCCGCCCTCTCGGGCTGGTCTGGAGCTCCGTTACAGGCGCTGGGCTTCAGGTGGAGCTCTCGGCTGCAGGAATGACCCTGCCTTTCAGATCAATACCGCGTTGTTCCACAAGCGTTCTACATTTGTCTTGCATGAGTCCACACTGTAAAATCATTAAGGCTTAGTTGCTTATGGATTGTATTTGCTGTTGTTTTCTTTCTCACTGGAAACCAATTACTGAGCCCGCTGATGGTGTCGGTGTAGGTGCTGTTGATGAAAAACCTGCAACTCTGTAGATTAGGTGGAACGTGCACACCACGCCCGTCTGTGTACCTTCACCGAGGTTTGGCCTGCTGAAACGCTGTGGACCCATGTAAATGCATCTGTTCACGTGGGACCTGGTGTCGCTCAGGGAGGCGTGGCTTTAACGGGTTTAATTTAAATGTAAACATCTCACTGATGAGCTCGTCGGACCAAAGCTCAGGTGTTGACAGGCTAAAGATCCAGGATGGTCCAGACCCTGAAAGGGTGTTTTGTCTGAATGCAGATGTTTGCAGACAAAAGCAGTTTCCCTGTTTCAGACATTAAATGTTCTCTGAGCAGCGTCCTGTCGGCCCTGAAGCCGGATCAGCAGCAGAATAAATGATCCAAAGTTGGTGAAAGGAGCAGCGAACCGCCCCAGAGCACTTCAGGTCTGTTCTTCGTGATTAACTGCTCATTAAACGCGTCTAACGTTAAACTCCTGATGAGTTGAATGAAAAAGGTTGGTGTAAGGTTTGTGATGACACCAGAGCGCGTTTGATGGCTTCAGCTCATAAACGGTCGGTGAGCGGCTCTCGGAGTGCTGGGGTGGCTGTAATATTGATTCCTCCAGAAAGGATTGTGTTTTCTGATTCTGCCGAGAGTCTGCAGCAGATGAAGTCGGTTCTTCTCCATCAGACGTTCAGCAGCTTCTCACCACCTCCTCGCTTTGGCATTCATATTTACAACAGGAAATACCTCAGATCTGTGCAGAGAGCTAGGCCACATTTTAATGAGCCGGCCCCTGCCGGTGCGAGGCTGCATTCGCGTCGGCGATGTGGAGTTGATTGCTCTTCTGTGCAGGAATTCAATAGGAGAGGTCAGGAAAACAGGACTGGACTACCTTAACGATACCCTGGAGGTGTGTGGAGTTTAGAGAGACCTCAGCGAGGCCGGATCAATTCTCAGAGCGGAGCGTCGCTGCTGAGTGGTTTTTATTCATTCCTCTGGAGACACGAAGGGATTCAGCTGTTTGGTTTATATTCTGGGACTAGGAGGTTCATTTTTAATGGCTGAGCTCACATCAGAGTCACTTCTACCGTGCTACCCTACTTTACTGGTTTAATCGGTTTTAAATGCCAGTAAGGAAACATAAAAACCAGTAGCAGCATTTTAAAGCTGCAACGGTACATCTGGAAAACAAAATAGCGTAAAATATGTTTTCATGCCTCTTAACAATTTTCATGGATTTTATCAATATGTTTGTCAGTAACCCATTTCCTGTAGTGAAGAGAGAAGGAGACGGGTTATAACTGTGGCGTAATGCACGAGGCAAAATGCCTCGAGCATGTGGTCACAGTTGAGAGAGAGATCAGGAATGTGTGTGTGGCTTGTGTGTGTGAAGAAGTGAGCATGCGAAGAGGCATGGAGCAATACATTCAGTTGATTGAGTCCATGATCAAGGATTAATAAACATAATTTTTCCATAACATTCCCTCTTGTTTATCTGAATAGGATAACCAACCAAAAGGAAGCAACAAAACCAAATAAGGAAAGTAAAAATAAGTTAAATAATAAGGAATTTTATCCACTTCCATAACTAGTCACCATTAACTATGAAAGCTACATCAATCACGAATCAAGGAGTAGAAAAGGGGTAAAACCAGGAAAGGTGATCATCCCGGTAGTCATGAGGACCAATAGGGTACAAATCAAGTAACCCAAGACAAAAAATGATAGGCATCAAAACAAGAACAATAAGTAAAGTAATAAACACTACGATCAGATATGAAAGGTTCAGAACCAACACGATGAGGTGGGAACACGGCATGAGGTGCTGCAAGCTTTGGTCTACTGCGGATCGTAATCTCAATCCTGATGACGTCGTCCAAAGGATCATTCCATACAGAAATCAGCAGAATAATAATAACAAGGTAATAAACACGATAAGGCAAACACAACTGACTATAATATCTTACAGCAGTCCACAGAGATAGAGAATGGAATCAGCTAAATCAACACAATTATAACCTTGAAGCTATTTCACACATATTGAAATGAATTTACTGTGATGCACAATTCTACAGTTTTATGGCAGTTCCTGTAAGGAGATTGGGAAGGGTTAGCAAAACCATTTAATACACAGAAAACTTCAGTTCGGTGTATTGAAACATCGGGTGAGTTTAGTTTAAAGCTCCAAGTTGCAGACGAATCCTTCTGTGAAGGAGGAAAAATGAAGGTGTAATATTAATTTACCCAGCTCTAACTATGGCACAGCTGAGGCCACCCAGATGTTCTTCATCAAAGGGCTTGTCCCCAGATTGAGTCCCGGTTGGAGAATAGGTTTGAAAGTCAGAGTCCTCTTCCGTTGGTCAGGATGGTTTCAGTCTTACATTGATGAGTACCTTGAAGTCCAGGTCCGGATCGTAATAACGTAGTTCGGAACATTAAGCGCAAAGTTAAACTTCTCAATAGGAAGACACCAGGGTCCTTCCATGGCGTGTCGAGGCGGTTGTCCAGTTGTCGGGGAGCTGATCTTGTCCCTGAAAGGTCCTTCAGGTCCTTGACCGTGAAACCAGTCTGGAGATTTGGGTGCAGGTGCTTGAAGTGGTTATCCTTTTCCAGCGTCTCTTCTTCGCTGTGTCCTGTTGTAGTTGCGTCCAGGGGGTCTTCAGCCGAGGTGGATGCAGGTTACGTTATCACGTAGGTGCGCTGTCAGGGAGGAACCCCAATCTGTCGTTTCAGTTCCAGTTCTAGTACACCCTCAAATGCTGCTGTCCCAGTTGTTCCACCAGGTGCTGAGACACGGCCCAAGTGCAGGGCCATGAGTGCAACCACCAACATCAACAATGTGGTGAACCCAGCAAGCTCGAAGCAGATCTTTATCTTATCTTCACCGGGTTTGAGAGATGGCACCCTAGTGGTGGCCCACCCCTTTGTAGCCGGACTTTGTTGCCGTGCTAAAGGGGTTGGTTGATAAGCATGCAGTGGGATAGATGAATCCAAGATGGCCTCTCAGCAATCCACAGCAGTGTGAGTAATGAGGAGTACTTTGAATGGACCTCTGGCTGCCCCATCTGTTTCGCTTCAGCACCTTCATCAGAACCCAATTTCCTGGTTTCACGACCTGTGGCGAAAAATCACAAGAAATTTCTGGGAGATCACTGTTGATTTTGAATTGTTTTTAGCAACAATCCTTATCACCTAATGTTAAAGGTAATTCCATCCAGACAGTGTAATAATGTGAGGAAATCGTTATCAGCCTTCCCTCCTCTTGAGGCATGAGGTAACTCGGGGCTCACCAGAAACGAAGCATAAACAAAAAGGGTCCGATACCGGCAAGCATTGCGCCAACCCGATGTTAAAATTGGACCACACATAACGTGAAAAACACCCATCCCAAGGAACGTGCTATTACTATTTCACGTCAGCAAGGGGCTTTTCCGGTTCGCGCCTTA